ATCATGCTTTTATTGTTGATGGTGGTGTTAGTGGTGGTAGTGGGCGTGTGATTCTGCAGTGCCAGCTGTCCTGACCCAGGGAAGCTTCCCTCTATCTGAGTTGGGTCAGAGGGTGTATTGATGTTCATGGAGCCAGGTATGCCTGGGGGTGGGGTAGAAGTGACACACCTGGGAGGTGTCTGCCCTCAAATGCCTCCTGCCATCCTGCTGAACATCTGCACCCCAGCTACCCTCCCATTCCTGAGCCAAACCACTTATCCTTATGGATTTCCCTAGGAGCTGGGTTAAAAAGAGGGCTGAGATGGGGGCAGGGGTAATTCTGAAGGTTTGGGCAATGGGGAATGCAGCACTGGGGGAGCAGGAGAAGGGGGCGAGATTTTAACTGAATGTTTACTAAAGCCAGGCCCTATGCTGGGTGCTTCACTACACTGAATCATCTTGTGAGGCAAATATTTATCATCCCCTCTTCTCAGATGGGCAAACTGAGGCTCAGAGATGAGGAGGGACTGGTTGAAGATCATACAGGCAGTCAATGGCAGAACCCGATTATGAATTGGGTTTGTGGGACCTCAAAGCCTATGGGGACATTAGAGAGTGTGTGGGCTCTTCGCACCTCAGAGCCGAGAGGTGGTAAAATGGCTGACAGGGAATTGAGAGGGGGCCAGGGAAGGGTGTGTCCTTGTGTCTGTGCCAAAAGTCATTACGGCTACATCTGTAAGCTTTTCTGAGCCCCTCTTCTCTGCCAGGCACTGGACTAGGCACTGTAGGGTGGAGAGATTAAGAACATGCAATTTCTGCCTTGAATGGATTCATAGGCGTCAGAGTGGGTTTGGGATTGTTGTCATGGAGAGTATTGGATGCCATGTGAATGACTTTGTACTTTATCCTAAGGGCAATGACAGGTTGAAGTTACAGTTTTTTTTTAAAGTAGGAGAGAATTATGACCAGATTTGGATTCTGGGAAGATCACTCTTCCATTTGACCAGGGAAATGCTTTGACTTCTACAAAGACTTTGTAAGGAGTTGAAATTCTGTAACATTGAGAGCCTACCAGTATAGTGGGGAAATCATGGGATATGGAGTCAGAGACATGGGCTCAAATCCCAGCTCCATACTTTCCAACTGTGTGACCATGGGCAGGTTACTTTACCTCTCTAGTCTCAGATTCCTCATCTATAGAATAGAAGCCACTGTATGGTTGTGAGCATTGAATGAGATGAAGCAGTGTTTTTCAAACTAATGTTTAGCTACAACCCATCTCTTGAAAGAAGGCTTACAAGGAATAAAAGAGAAGAAAGGAGAAGAAATGGAGGCAGGGTCAGAGCCTTCCTGGCTAGGCAACCCCTACTTCACCTAGGTGGTCCCTGGGGGTACCCCAGGTCTTTGCATGACACCATTTTGAAAACCCCAAAATAAGGAACATAAAGCTTCTGGCAGATAGTAGACTTTCAGTAAATGTTATGCCCCTTTCTTTTCCCATGCAACCACACCAAACGAGTCTAATTCCTCTTCCCATAAGACAGCCCTTCAACTATTTGGACAAAGCTCTCAAGTCTCCCCTGAGTCTGTCTTTCTCCTGAGTAAACATTGAAGGGTGTTAACATTTCTTATGGGGCTTGACTTAAGTCCTCTCCTTGTCTGTCTCAAGCAGAAGGCCTCACACCGAAGCTCGATTCTCTGATGCCTGATCAGGGAAAAATAAAGCACAACTAACTCTGGCAAAAATTCTAGCAGCTACATTTTTTGAGCCATAAAACAGGACTTTATATTTATTCCCATTTCATCTTATCCTGTTAATTTAGCCTATAGCTCTACTCCGTCAAGATCTTTCTGCATGCTCTGTTTGCCAAATGGTGTACTGTTATCCCTTTCAAGACTTATCCAAGCTATTGATAAACTAGGACAGATTAAGGGCACACGAATGACATGGAATCATTCCTCCCCACTTCTGTGAACACTTAGCACTGAACATCCATAGAACTTTAAAAATGAGGAGAAAACAACTTCAGTGCCAAATCCAGTCCTGACAAATACGCACTTATCCCCACATTCAAAGAAGGGAGTGACAGAGCTTGGCCCTGAACTGGGGTCTCCTGATTTCTCATCTGGTGCTTTTTCCATCTTACCACCACTGCTTGCGTGTAACTTTATACACTGCAAAAGCCCATTAACTACCTGTTTACTCACTCATTACTCCCTAACTCCCTGTTTTGCAATTTGCAACATTTCTTATGTTCACACTCATAATCCAACTTAATCTTCACAGTAGCCCTGTGACCTAGGTTGTATTATTATATCCATTTCACAGATGAAGCAACAGAGCCCTAGAGAGATTCCATGACTTGCCACGGAATTAGGAAGTCACAGAACCAGGATTTGAACTCGGCACTCGTCGCTCCAGAAGTGTGCTGTCTGCTGTTCTGTCCACCTAGACACATGGCCTCCTACTCTTAGAACAGCACATCCACCATCCTTCCCATGGTGGGCATCTGAATGTGTACCATAGTGTTACTGTAGGATGGGCTAGCCTCCTGTGTACCCAGTTTGGAGACAGAGGACAGGTCCTGGTACAAGAACGCAGAACCAGCTTTATTATACTGGGGGTGGAAGACTATGTGGGGGAGCCCTACTGAGCTGCATAAGAGTCCTTTGGTGGTGCTCACCATGGCTTGGGCTCTCCCCTTTAAATATTTTCATGTAGAATTACCAGTCTCATACCTTCTCCCCCTGCTTCCTGTCTCTCTGCCACCAGTTACCAGTTTCTGTTGAGTTGATTCCAACTCATGGTGACCCCAACGTGTATCAGAGTAGAATTGTGCTCTACAGGGTTTTCAATGGCTGATTTTTGGGAAGGAGATAGTCATGCCTTTCTTCCAAGGCCACTCTGGTGGACTAGAATCTCCAACCTTTTGGTTAGCAGCTGAGAGCATTAACCATTTGCACCACCCACTAACTCTGGTAGCTATTTAATCATTTTAAAGACGCAAGGTTCATTTCTTGATAAAGCCTCTCATGATCCTTTCTCTGTGCTCCCATTGGCTGTCTGCGGCAACTATCTTGCTTTAATGCCATATTTGTTTCTCCTCTGTCTCACCACTCAAGCCCCTTGAGGTGAGGGTGTAGATCTTATACATACATTCCCCTAGTGCTGGTGTAATGTTTAGTACCTAACAGGAGCTTAACAAATATTTGTGGAATGGCTTCTCTTCCTCTTTTTGTGGGGATCAGCATTAGCACTCATTACCAAGTGGAAGTTTGCAAGAGCATTGGTGGGTAAGGTGAGGGGGTAGTAATATCTCCTGGGTCCCAGAGTTTGCTGTTGTCTTAATGCCTGTTCCCACCAAGAGATGAAAACCACTCTCATCTGCATCCTCCCCAGGCCACCAACTATGGTGTGTGTCTGTACCTTGCCCTTCATACGCACTTACTTACTCAGCATCACAGCACCTGAATAGGGTATGTGGGAAACTATTGTTCCAAGTCTAAAGGTTTTTAAAAATAAGTGAGGCTTAGAAATTTTAAAGGGCTTTTTAAAGGAGTTGCTGGGTTAACACCCTCAGCTGTTAAACAAAAGGTTGGAGTTTGAGTCCACCCAGAAGTGCCTCGGAAGAAAGGCTTGGCAATCTATTTCCAAAAAATCAGCCACTGAAAACCCTATGGAGTACAGTTCTACTCTGACACACATGGGGTTGCCATGAGTTGGAATTGACTCAATGGCAACTGGTACTGGTATCAAAGGTCTACATGAGCCAGGTATGTCTAGTAGATGGAGCTGATGTGTGTGCCTGGTGCTGTGGGTCCAGCATTTTAAGTGATTTATCTCACGTAATCCTCAAAGCAACCTGGAGACCCACTGAACCAAGAAGAAAGCTGGGACTCAGAGAAGTCAAAAGAAGTGGCCTAAGGAGGGGAAACTAGTACAGGGCATAACCAGGATTCAAACCCAGGGTTTCTGACTCCAAATCCAGACCCCCCAGTCTCGGACTCCCAGTGCAGAGTTCACTCTTCTCACCCAGAACAGTTACCTTCGTAAGAAGCCTTGAATCCCAGGGAGCTGCCACTGCCGTCGGTCTGGAAGAGAAGCCACATTTGATGGTTGGTGCTGACAATCAGATCTGGGACCGATGTACCTGTCAGACTGTCAGGACAGAGAGATTTAGAGGGGTGCACCCCACCATGTCACCCAAATAGAAAGATTGCCGAACCAACTACGCCTAAAGGAATATCTAGGATCCAGGCCCATTCAGGGCAAGTTCTGGGCCCCATGGTGTTTCGGACATTGGACCAAGCAGCATGTGCTCCACTTGCTGGGAAGACTCTGTCCCTCCCCTGTGACTCCCGAGCCCAGGCCCCTGGGCTCAGGAGGGAGCCCTCTGCCTTCATTTGCTCAGAGTACAGGGATGTTGTTGTTGTGTGCCACTGAGCTGTTTTTGACTCATAGCGACCCTATAGGACAGAGTAGAACTGCCCCATGGGGTTTCCAGGGCTTTAATATTTACAAGAGCAGATCATCAGGTCTTTCTCCTGCAGAGCCACCGGTGGGTTTGAACCACCAACCTTTTGGTTAGCAGCCAAGCAATTTAACCCTTGTGCTGCCACCAGGGCTCCCTGGGTACAGGGATAGCGGGATCCAAATCTTGTGGCCTTTCATCTCCTTTGTGAACTGCACTGCAGAAAAGACACAGACAGAAATCCACTTCCCTAGTCGAAAGCTCAGGCTTTCCTTTTAAGGAGACATATCCTTCCCTTCCACGTGAGATGAGGCTTAACACGCAGCCATCAGCCCAGGGCTGCCATTCTGAAGGAGTTGTAAGCCTGAGGAGGATTCTGATTCAACTCACATTTACCAAGCACCTACCTGAGTCAGACACTGTGCTGATCAAGTCCCATCCACTATCTCATTTAATGCCCCCAGCAGCCCAGTGAGGTGGGGATTGTCATCCCCACTGCACAGATGGGAAGACAGAGGTGGAAAATGGGCAGTGACTTCCCCATGGTCAGCCTGATGGCGAGTGAGAGAGCCAGGAGTCCACTGCACAGGCCTGGGTGGGGGTGGGCACGGTTCCAGAAGAAAAACTCTATTCAGGTGTTCTAGCCCCTTCCTAGCCTGGCTCTCTCCTTCTGTGAGACCAGAAACGCCATCAGCACAGGCAGGGGTGGGGGTTAGATTAATGGGTCCCAGTCTCTGATCCACCTGGGAGCCTCAAAGTTTGGGGGCTGTTGAGTTGGCTGCAGAGAGATGAGCACCACACTGTAGGAGCTGTGGGGTGGAGCTGGAACAGACCATAGGGAGCCACCCTGGCCCATGTGACATCCCTGGTCTGGGGGTACTAAGCCCTGGGCCTAGTGTTCTGTAATGATTAAGGAGATAAGCCAGGTCAGTGCTGGCTCATGACATGGGTATGCTGGTGAGCAAGGGAGAAGGCCAAGGTCTTTGCTTTTTCTAATCATAATTGTTACACCCAGTTATGATAACAAAGGAGCCCAACTGTTTTGCATGTGTTTCCCTGAAGATTTGAGGCCAATGTTGGCCTAAAGAGACTTGGAGGTGATGGGGAGAACCTCAGCATCCCATAGCTAGGGGGCTGCTACCGAACGTGTTGGGAACTCACTCAAACCAGACTGGTCCAGAGACCTGGGTACAAACCCTGGCTCCACCGTTCATTTGCTGTTGGACCTTTAGGCAAGGGGTTGAGCCTTTCTGGGCTTTTTCACTCAACGTTAAATGAGAGGGTTGAGCTGTATGATCCCCAAATGCCTTTTCAGCTCCGATGTTCTAAGGTTCCCTCTGTGACAAAGCACAGCAGGTCACAGGAGGAGATGGAGCTGGGATTCAGGCATCTTAGGCACACTGAGCTGCCTCAACTTTATGGAGAGCAAGCCAGGGCAGAAGGTGAGTGATGGGAATGCACCAAGCAGGGGTGGGGTGAAGTGGTGTGGGGGTGGGGTCCTTCCCGGGCTCACGTTCCAATCTTTTGCTCTAATAGAGCGCAAGTCCCAGGCATGTCACTTGACTCAGTGGGTAACAGTGATGAGTTGTTTAACTGCTCTGATAGTGTCTTGTCCAGGTAGGTGTGGGGAAGGTATGGGATGCACTCAGAGCAGAATGGCATCTGGACAAGCCAGCTTTTACTGAAGAGTCATTTCTCATTCAGCATTAAAACCTGAGGGTGTCAGACAGGGGCTAGGCTGGTGGGAGGGAGTGTGACATGGGATGGGATCCTTGCTGGAAATCAGAAGACGTGAACTCAAGTGCTAGTTCTACCACCCACCATCTTCACAGTCTTCTGCAAGACATTTAATGACTCCAGGCCTCAGTTTCCCCACCTGTTAAATGGGGATAATAATACTTTTTCATGGGGCTGTTGTTGGGATTAACTGAGATAACTGATGTGAAAGTCCCCATCCTGTTCTTGGGCACACAGAAGGTATTCATTGTTTGTGAATTTCCTCCTCTTCTTGGCAGGGCAGATGAACAGGGCCATGCCTGTCTCTCTGAAGCTTGGCCACATGCACTGATCAGGAGCATTTTCCTGCTTCCAGGTCAGGCTAATGGTGTTGGGCCAAGAGGGAGGGCATCAATGGCCCCAGGAGAAAAGACCCAATGGAATGGAATCCCAGGACAGCTTGATATTGATTATCCTATCCCACGATTAGACCACATCATACTAACTTCTCTCTCTCTCAGGCTCAGAAAAATGTGCTCACTACTTCTATATGGTCCCAATTCTCTGAAACCATCTACTTTTCTGAACATGCAGGGAGGTTAGCAAAACACTTCCATTGTCTTTGCGTGACGTCAGACTGCCAGGGACTATGCAGTCCTGAGTAAAAACTGTTGGGTGGCAGGAGTGGGATCTGCGTAGAAGTAGACAGCAAAATGGGCAGCTCCAAGCTCACACATGAAACTTCTATTTCCCCAAGCTCACACATGAAACTTGTACTTCCCCTGTACCCTCAGAGCCTGTTCATTTTTTCAATTTCTAGTGAGAATTTGGCCCAGTTCTCTATTTCTCTTGGTTAGAGTAGAGAGAGGCAGAAGGCTGGAGGATCTGTCCTTGTAGCAGGGTGACCTGGGAGGGGACCAGGCAGGACTCGGCAAGCCCATCCCCACCACCCACAGCCAAGATGCACATGGCATCCCACCCTCCTGATTGAATGCACCACTTCACTTACATGTAGAGAACCGTTTTCTGGTCCCCGTCCTGCCCACCATCCCCGACTGTTAGGGTGTCATAGCCCCTCTCCAAGTCAAACTCCTCAAAGGCGAGCTTGATCACCTAGGGAGGGAGTACAGGATTAGGGAGCAGGCAGTGGCTATGAAGAAGGACTTTCCTTAATTTAAAAAGAAAAGAGGAAGATTTCCAAAGATTGAGGATGGTAAGAATGTTCCAGGTTATGTCCTGATGCCCAGAGTCACCGGTGACACCAGCCTACAGACTCCTCAATGCAGAGTGACCATTTCCGTGTCACTTCTGTGAGAGTGAATGACTTCCAGGGCCTACAGTCTCTGGGGCCCCCTGATTTTTCCAGAGATGTTCATGGCACATCTGGCCAATTCTGGGGGCTGTCATGGCAACAGCAGGCACATCTGTCTGACTGCAAGATGATTAGAGTCTTTCTTCATGCTTTAATGCACAGAAATCCCCATGGGCTTGGCGGCAATTTTTCAGGCCACATGTGGAATCTCAGCTATCTTTCCCCCAGGGACCTGCAGAAGCTCCTCTCAGCCTCTCTTCCGGCTGCTGTTTTCAATCCTTTTTGTTTATTTGTTGAATAAATGAATGTTCCAGAAAGGAGATTTCAACAAGATTCCCCCTTTCTTAACTTGTTTTAGTTCCGCCTTCCACAAATATTTACTAAACATTCACCATATGCCAGGCTAGGAGGTGGGGTTTAAACACTGAGCGAGATACGGTCCCTAGCCTCAGTGAGTAAGGGTGACAGAAATGTGAAATGATAATCACAACCAAAACCAAAACAAAACCTTTGAGTCAATTCTGACTCATGGCAACCCCATGTGTTATAGAGTAGAACTGTGCTCCATAGAGTTTTCAAGGCTATGAACTTCTGGAAGTAGATTGCCAGGCTTGTCTTCCAAGGTGCCTCTGAGCAGGTTCGAGCTGCCAACCTTTTGGTTAGTAGTTGACCGCTTAACTGTTTGTGCCATCATGTATAAAGATGTATGGGGGCCATGGGAGCATAGAGGAGGTGTCTTATCCAACCTGTGGTGAGGGGAGGAAGGGGAGGCTAGTCACGATGATGGCATCTGAGGGAATTCTGAAGGATATGGGAGACTCCATCAGGCCAAAGAGGGGTGCTGGGATAGGGAGGGAAACATTCCAGAAAGGAATCAGGAGCACAGGGCCTGATCTGTGGCAGCAATGAAACATTACAAAATAACGAGTTGCTGAATGTCTGTCAGAGGCAGGTCTACAAACGCTGGTTGAGTACACCTGTTAGCTGTCCTCACCCTGGGGGACAATGTGACTGGTCATTCAGGGTAAGGAGGTGACTCAGGAAGATGGAGAACTTGAGATGTTTGCCTGGGGCTCAGTCCAAAGGGTTTCACAACCTCCTCCTCAAGGAGTTGGTGTGTATCCTGAGAAAAGAGCAGTAGAAGGGTTTTAAACAGTGGGGTAATGTGATGGGGTTAGACAGGTCTGGCTGCTGGAAACTGTGGAAAATGACATGGCAGAAGTGAGGCTGGAGGTGGTGAGGGTGGTTCAGAAGCTTTATGGAAGTCTAGGTGAGAGGTGGAGGAGGCCTTTCTTAAAGAGCAGCAATAAAGATGAGAAGAACATCAGATTCTACTGGTATTTAGGACTTTGTGACTGGGTGGATGTGGGGGTGAGGGAAAGGGAGAGATCTAGGATGACTTGTAGGTTTCTGGCATGGGTGTTGGGTGGGTATGTGGTAGGGCCATTCATGAAGACAGGATACACAAGAGATGCCCCCTCCTATTGTCTAATCAGGGTCTCCTTTTGCCATTTCAATCTGATTTTAATCTCTTGAGGCTCTTCACTCACCCAGTGGGGAGGCTTAAGTTGCTCCTTTGTTTTCTTTTCCATAACCTAAGGAATATAGAATTTCTGTGGATATTTTTTCCTAGCTGTGGTTGACACCTTCTGCAGTCTTCCTCTGTCCACACCAAACAGCCTGGCACCATATACTGCCAGGGTACCAGCTGAATCTCATCCCAAGGTGCCTTCAGGTATCCCAGAAGCAAACTTGTGCTGCAGTCATTCATGGGCCTGGATGCACTGATGCAGGGCCTTCTGCAGCAGGCCTGGAAGTCCCAGAGAGAAACTTCTCTACATAAGAACGTCCATGAGCACATCAGCGGGTCTACAACTAGAAGAGGAGGAGGTAATTGTCACTGGCTGGGAGAAAGATTAGGAGGCCCTTGGAGGAAATGAAGTCCTGTCTTCTGGCTGAGTCTGAAAGACGAATCAAAGTCCAACAAGTGGATAAAGAAGTGGAAGCAATCCAGGCAGAAGGAAGAGCAGGTGACAGGGAAGAGGCATGGATGGTATGACTTGTCTAGAGACTTCTAATAGTCCCTGGGTGGTGCAAATGGTTAAGTGCTTGACTACTAACCGAAAGGTTGACGGATCAAAATCACCCAGAGTTGCCTCAAAAAAAAAATGCCTGGTGATCTGCTTCCAAAAGGTCATAGCCCTGAAAACCCTGTAGAGCACAGTTCTTCTCTGTAACACATGATGTTGCCAGGAGTTGGAATTGACTCAAACGCAACTGGTGTTTTCTTGGTTTGCTTAAGTGAGAGGGAAGTGGAGGGCGGGGAAGCGAGAGAAATAGGAGAAGCCACGTTATGTAGGGCTCTCTGCTATACTAGGGATTTGGGGCTTTGCCCTGAAGACAAAAGGAAGTTATAGAACAGTTTTAAAGAAGGGTGTGACACCAAATTTTTGTTTTAGGATCGACACTACTGAGAGTGGGTTGAAAACTAAGAGACTAACTACTGGACTGTAGCAATTTCTAAGGAGCCCTAGTGGCACAATGGTTAAGTGCTCAGCTGCTAACTGAAAAGTTGGAGGTTCAAACCCATCCAGCAACCCCATGGAGAAAGCCCTAGCAGATGTTCTTCCATAAAGATTACAACCTAGAAGATCCTATGGGGCAGTTCTATCTACTCTGTCACATGCGGTCGCTATGAGTCAGAATTGACTCGAAGGCACCCAACAACAAGAAGCACTATTCTAGGTGAGGGAGGATGTGGTCTTGTCGCAGGGTTGGGCTGGGTTAGGAAAGAGAGGATGGAACACAGCTGTCAATAGTGACTGGAGATTCCTTGGCCCTTCTGGATTTCCCATCCAGGAGGCAAGACCCTTCCCATGTTCCTTGTTGACTCATGGCATCATCAGAAGATCACTGGCTGGAATCTCCTTTCCATCCCTCACTCTCCAGTCCTGCCCCCAGAGTGATGTTCGTTGCCATTTCCTAGCCCGAAATAAAAGGAGGAGCTCTCCCCACCTGTGCCCTGCTGACCTCCCCTCTCCCCCTGCACACCTGAGCTCCTGAGCATTCTCACCGTGCTGCCCATTCACCACTCTGATTTGCACAGGCTCCTCCCTCTCCCCCTCCTCCCCCAGCACATTTCTCTTCTTCTCGGAGTGCTCCCTGATTACCCTGGACCAGATGGGTGCTCCCACCCAGCACCTTCTCTCACCTCATTTCAGTACTCACCTGCTGAACTGTGATTGTCTGTTATTTGCTCTTGCACTCCACCGTGAACTCCTAGAGGTCATGGGGTCATGGCTCACTGCCTCTGTACTGCTAGTGCCTGCCTGCGGGCCAGCATGTGCCAGGGCTCAGAAATGTTCATGGGAGAGCATTTCCCAAATCCCACCTCCCAAAGGATGCCTTTCCCACTCTGCAGTGTGGACTGATTGCTACAATCTCAGATTCCTCACGATAGTTACCATCTAGGACAGGAGTTGACAAATGTTTTCTGTAAAGGGCCGGAGAGTAAATACTTTAGGCTTTGCAGGCAACTAGTCAACTCTTCTGTGGCAGCGCAAAAGCAGCCCACAGACAACATGTAAACAAATGGGTATGGCTGTGTTCCAATCAAACTTGATTTACAAAAACAAGCAGTGGGCTGGATTTGACCCACTGGCTGTAGTTTGCCAACTCCTGGTCTAGAAGATTCTTTCAGACACTTATTCAAATAATTTGATAATCTTCTGAGATTTCTTCACCATAATCACTGACACCTACAATGTGCCAGACTCTGTTCTAAGCACTGTACATATACCAACTCACGTAAAACTTACAACAATAGGTACTATGATTACCTCCATTTTAGAAATGAGAAAGTTGAGGCACAGAGAGGTTAAGCAACTTGCCTAAGACCACACAGCTAAGTAGTAGATCTGGGACTCAAACACCAGGCAGGCTGACTTTAGAGGCCAGACTTTTTGCCACTATGTGCTACCACTTCAAAACATTACCATGAGGTCCGGTCTTTTAGGAAAGGATTATGACTTATCATCTCAAACCTCTCCTGAGCTCTTTGTCTAGACCACTGCAGGTGCTCAGCAAAAACTTGCTGTACATAAAGTAGACCGAGGCAGATAGTGCCTTTTGCAGGAGAAGGGGGCCCAGGCTCGGCAGAGAGTGAGGGATGCAATCCTCCCCGCCGCCAGCCCCTTCCAGTCAGTCCCTGGGCAGGAGACACCAGCTCACTGCACCACCTCCAGGACAGGGAGCACACGGTTACTGGGCCTATAACGGGAAAGCATTGCTTTGAAGGCCAGAACCCAGAGCCGTAAAATGGCGCACATCGCTGGTGACAGTAGCCATTGACGTAAATCACACCTGACAGCGTCTGATCCTAATGTAGGAGCTAATTACACCGAGCAGTCTGTACACCATACACAATCTTGCGGCTTCAGGATGTGACCCTGGTGCACAATGTACTGATGCTTTCGTCTTTTTTCTTCTCTGCTTTGGCTTTTGTTAGAAGATTGAATCCTATATTGACTCGTTAACTAACATGCAGATCAATCAAGCTCACAAAGCACCTTTCTGAGACAGGAGGGATGGCAGCACATGAAATAAGCATGATCAGAGAGGCACATTTGTATACAGCTCAGACACCCTATTTAAACCCATTAAACAAATGAGTAAATGAACCCATCATCTTGGACATAATGACTGAGCAACTGCTATGTGCCAAGCACCGGGCTAGCTGCTTCCCATAAGTTACCTCACTTGCCTAGCATTTTAGCGTTGAATCTGAATGCCAAGTTCAGAA